TTATTTCTCATTGCTTCAATTTCACTAGCCTTTTATTTTGGCTTCATGCCATTCAAATTACTACTTACTTGCAAACCCCTCTCCTTTGCTTCACTAACATAAACCCTTTACCACTATGAACTATAATATGTTCATATTCGCAGCTTTGGGGTGTCTCAGTCCCCCCCCCCCCCCCACACCTTGTCTAACAGGTACCACCACCCACAAATTCCAACCATTTATCACTAAATGCATTTATCTCGGATTGTTTGTTTATCACTAAGTGTCTCAACATTATCACTCAACAATTACTTTTTCTCGATATGTTACTCTCAAAATTGTCACATCATCACCTGACTCATCATACAATTTTTCTTGATGATGCTAAAATTTTTCAAAGGTGCCCACCCTCAATATCGTCCATATTTATTTCCTCAAACATGCTAATTTCTTCATTGGTTAGTCCAACTCTTACCCCCTCCCCCATTTAGTCAACCTTTTACAATGGTCAAAGACCCTCACTCGAATTAAATACTCCACACCCCCAACTGTTAGCCAATCGCTCCTCACCACAATCAAATAGTTAAACTTATCCTGTGAAAATAAAAATGAAAAACACAACACTCACCTCAGGTCGATAAGCGCCCACTCCTAATTCCAACTTCACAGTCCTCGGGCCTTCATCCCTTCATCATATGCATTTGTGTGACCTGCGTGTAAACCAAAATACAATACGAAATGATTTTAAACACACAACCAACTAACACAGTTAAAATAAACCAAACAATCAACTTAACCAACTTTTGTATATAAACTGATTTTAGACTCTCCCGATGATACTCCATCCTTAGTCACTCATATTTGGAACATAAATTTGAATTGCTAAACAGATCATCTTATTTGAAAAATGAAAACCAACTCACTTGGTGATCCTAAAATCAAGATGGCAGTGAAGGTATTTCGGGATAGACTCAAGGCTGCCCAAGATCGACGAAAAAGTTTTGCGGATAAGCATTGGAGTTTGAAGTTGGGATGAAGTATTTCTAAGGATTTATGTTGGAAAGGCATCATCCGATTCATAGCTAGAGGAAACGACCCAACTCCCCTGACAATAAACGGAATCAACCTAACCCCATAAGTTTGTTAGACAAACTCCATGCTCCAAAATCCCCCTTGCACGCCCTCCACAACACATGCAAACCCTTAGTCGTTCATGAACATTTAAACCCAAACATGCATACACCTTATCCCACACAACCTTTTGGTCTCCTACTCGACCCCCATTGGGGCCCTCCAGGCCTCGAATGAAAAATCCCAATAGATGATGAATTTAGTTATCTAATTAAAAACAAAATGGTGGAGTTTGCTCCATGTCCTCTTAACAATGGCGGAGCCAAAACACTAGGCCGGGTTGGGTCAGTACAAAGAATATTTTTAGAAAAATTTTAGCCTGAATTTTTTACACAAAAATATAGACATTTTAAACTTGGGGTGGTCCAGGGCCTAGAATGACATGGAGCTTGCCTAATCGTCAATGGTAACTCCCAATAGGTCATCGTTTATTGTGAAAACTTTCAGACGATAGTAAAACGTGCAAATATTTGGATGTTCCTTAAATTGAATTTGTTTCTCGTGTGACTACTACCATGGTTTTCCATATTTAAATATTAACCTTTTTTACTGTTTATCACGAATATTACCCGAAAATGGTATAATCAGGAAGAACTAAGATCTGTGAATTCCGAAAAATTGAGTTGCTTTGCTCAGCTGTTTATTTATACTTTTGTAGGCAACATATTTTTTTTTTTTCATATGTAGGCAACATATGAATACATGTACAAGTAAAAAATCAAGAGATTCTTACATTTAATGCAAGACACCCCTACACTTAATGCCTAATAAAAAACTTCCTATAATTACAAAAGTTTAATAAAGGTAACAAAGATATTTTCTACCGATTCTCTGATTGACATCCCCCTCAAATTGATGTGGGTTGATCAACAAGCATCAATTTGCCCCCACGGAATGGATGACATTGACGAGGAAGAGCCTTCTTGAAGATGCCGACCACTTAAAGATATGTGGATACATGGGGCAAGGAAATCACTTGATATTCAAATGCTTCACGAATAAAATGACATTCTACTTCAATGTATTTGTGCGATCGTGATAAACTGGATTAGCTAATGTGAATAACACTAGTGTTATCGACATGCAATGGAGTAGGCCCGCTGGTGAAAAATCAAGTTCTGCTAGTAAACCTCGTAACTATTTGAACTCTGAGCAGGCAAGAGACATAACACGATATTCTGACTCCTCAAATGATTTAGAAACCCAATCATACTTCTTGCTTTTCCAAGAAACAAGTGCAGTCCCCACCAACATATGCCATCCTGTGGTGGAGCAACGAGTATCTACACAAATAGCCCAATTAGCATCACTATAGCCAGATAGTTCAAGAGAAGTACCAGATGTAAAATAAAGTCCCTTGGTAAAGGTTCCAAGAATATAATGAATCATATGTTGAGTTGCAGCCATATGGAGATGACGAGGATTCTGAAGAAATAGACACACCTGTTGAATAGAAAATGAGAAATTTGGACGAGTAATTGTAAAATACACTAAGCTGCCCCCAAGCCTACAATCAAAGACGGCGCCACCCTAAGGGTTGTGGTGTCAATTAACACCACTGAATTTTATTTTTCCCATATATACGTGTATATAATTTTCCAAATATTTCAAATTGACACCATCGAAGAATAGAAATTACATATATGGGAAATAATCGAGTGATCCATTATAGTGATAACAATATCAACTATATAGACAAGAAACACTACAATCCGGGCTAAGGTATGTCGGAGAAACATGAATGTATCATGTTTGCTTGGCTGAAACGAGAAATGCTGAAGTGTAGGACGAAATTTTTCATACCAAGCTCGAGAAGCTTATCTTATTTCATACAAAGAACGATGTAACATAAAGATAGACCAAAAGGTGCACACATAAAGATATATTCTTTGAGATCATCGTGAAGGAATGCATTTTTTACATCCATTTGACTTAGAACCATCCCCGGGAGGAAGCAATAGCAAGAACAACCCGGATTGTAGTCATTTTTGTTATAGGAGCAAAAGTTTCCTTATAACGATCAATGCTGCCAACAGATCTAACTTTGACCGAATACACCCACTTGCACGATAGAGGAGTGATGTTACGAGGACATGACACGATATCCTATGTTTAATTAATTTCCAGAGCTCGCAATTTTTCCTGCATTGCTTCCTATCAACACTTATGTTTGGCGGCATGTGAATAACAAAAGATAATAACAATAGATGATACTGTAGCATCAAGAGCATGAGAAGAGGATGAAAATCCATACCGATATGGTGGTACTGAACGTCGTGTAGAGCGACGAAGAGGAATCTCCACAATGCACGTATCCTCAAGTGGAAACTCTGGCACAGGATCTGATTGAGGGAAGGAGGTGACAGAGAGTCTAGCGGGTGGAGGATCAGTCTGGTGGTGGCAGTAGGTCAGCATTCGGCGGCGTTCCACAAAGACAGGGAATTCTGGCATATCGGCAGTGAGAATTTGGGGGGGGGGGGGGGATTCAACGACCAGTGGTAGGCGATCTGGGAACCTGGGGGGAATAATTCTTTACCATCCCAGAGGCATGAATTTTCTCTCAAGCTAAATACACATAGGAAATATTGGAGCATCACCATTATTCATACCTCATAACAAAATTGCTTCTTTGCCCGTCCTTGACAAGACAAGAACAAGAGTGAAATTCGATTGGTACATCATTTTCACGCCATAATTTGAATACGGAAATTAAATTGGTATGAAAAGAAGGAACAAAAAGAGTATTGGTCATTTAGAGAGAAATACCATTTGTCCGATGTGGAACTCCCGGTGGCAAAAGTTGTTATCGTACCACGTCTTTTTTTTGTAAATCTGAGCGTTTTCATAAGCTTCCCTCTGAGTTTCCTCAAACTTTGCCTTTTGGAACACCCTCCTTTGCTTTTAGAGTGCGGGGTTGGAACGAGCCGATATGGTGACATCCCTAGTGATGTATTTAGGCGGTCAGCTATGCCCATAAGGCATCATCTAGATTGAATTCCCAATCTTTTCAAGAGGTGGGAACTTTTTCTCCAAGATGGCCTTCATCTCCCAATTAGACACCTCCATTTATCTGTCAGCTAGTCAGTGATAAGCTACCCCGGTGTGAAATTTTCATCAATATTTCTTTAGAAAACTAGAGAAATGAGCATTCTTGAAGTGTCCCATTATCGTTTATGATAGTTAGAGGATGTCAATCAGGGAGAATATGTTCTTGTTCACGAGTTCCCTCACATTCTTTCCGGCGTTTTTGCAAAGAGCTGTTGCTTCCACCCATAAATTCTAAGTTTCCCACATCTAATAGTTCTTCCGTGAGGATCATATTATGTGAAATTTCATTTTTTTCGGTTCTTTAACACTGGTCACAAGTTTGGACATAACTCTTTGCATCCTTGAATAATGTGGGTCAGAAAAAGCCACACTGAAGGACCTTGGCGGTATCGTGATCCGGACAATGGTGACATCCATAAGGAAGGTTATGATAATGATTGATGATTGACATAATTTCCTCATCGGGCACACATCTTCTAATTAGTCCATCGGGTCACAATGCTTGAAGAGGTATGGATCATTTGGAGAGTAATACTTTTAACATCACTAAGAAATTTCTTCTTTTGACTAAAGATGAGGGATGGTGGAAGAATTTCATTGGTAAGATAGTTCACAAAATTTGTGAACCAAGGCAAAAGAAGCCCCACTTACCGCTACGAGTTGCTAATAGGGAAAATTATCATGCATAACTTTTATAATTGTTGTGGCACTTGGCTCAAGGCGGGAGAAATGGTTCGCAACAAGATTTTGACTTTCCTTTTTATCTCGTATTTCAACATCAAATTCATGAAGAAGTAATAATCAATGAATTACTTTGGTTTTGCATCCTTCTTGCTCATTAGATACCGGATGATGGAATAAACGGTGCGGACAATCACTTTTTGCCCAATGAAGTATGATGACCGGAATTTATCAAATGCATAGAAGACAACTAAAAATTCCTTCTCTGTGGTGGCATAGTTCAACTCCGCATTATGGAACAATCTAGAAGCAATAAATGGCATGAAACTTATCTTTTCTTTGCTCAAGTAATACTCCAATGGCATGGTCATTAGCGTTACCAATATTCTGAATGGCGCTAATCGGCCGCTAGCCGCTAGGTGTTGGACTGGCGCCCAATTAGCGCCTAACGCCATTAAGAATATTGGTGACGCTAGTGACCATGCCATTAGAGTACTGCTTGAGCAAAGAAAGGATAAATTTCATTTCAATGGTAAAGAACAACAACATCCAAGCCTTAGTCCCAAGTTGGCCATGTTTAGGAATTCCTTGAATGAATCCAAAGAATTTGGCAATAAAATTGAATGGATTTCCCCCCGGGCGGCCATAAAGTTGAGGTATATCATTGAAATATCTATTCTTCATTTCATAGTCTCTAGATGCCTCGATAAGGACAATGTATGATGTGGTGGTTGGAACAATGGTTATCTTCCTTTAGTGAAGTGCTGACATCATTTTGTCTTCATTTCTTTTCTTTCAGTTGTGTTTGAAAGTTCTTTCTCTTTGAAGATCAAGAGGTTCAAGATGTTTAGAACCTTGACTTCTCAAATGCATTCATACACAAAGGGTATGATACTCACATGAAATGGAAAATGATCATGTCTAGCCATCTGAGCAGGATCCTTCGCCTGGCCACCTCCATTTGAGGTGGTTCTTGGTAGAAATTTTTTATTAAATTTTGTCAACATGCTATTCATGAAATATAAATTATGTCTACAAATAAAACATATTGTTTTTCAATAATTTGTTTACTTGACTTCTCGATTGAACTTTAAGCTGAAATTTTGGAGAAATTATATACACCTCATGAATGGTTTGCTATTAGTTTTTGATGTCCTAAATGAATGAGTTTTTTGTTAAAAATTGACTCCATATTATTTTTGGCTTACATTCACATAGTTGGTATTATTAAAAATCATTTTTAAAGTATGTATTATTATTGGTTGATGATTGATAGTTGATATTATTTAAAATTATTTTTCCATTAAACTATGCAATGAATGATGATTAAGGGATGAAAATGAGAGTCTAAATAGTCCTAAGATTGACATGTTTTAGTCTATTCACGATTGTGGATCAGTATGTGCGAATTTCAGAGCCAGACTTCTCAAAATCTTCATTTCCCAACAAAAATATTGAGAGGAGAGGAAGTCATCTGATTTTGCAGATTTCAGAGGTTCGGCGTCGGTTATAGGGCATGTACGGCGCCGGTTTGTGCAATTTCCGTTCAGTTTTCAGCAACTCTAGCGCCGGGCTGGTTATGTGAGAACTCTGGCGCCGGTTCCTTTGAGCTTTTCGGAAGATTTTTCTACTTTCTAGTTCTACGCACCCAACTTTAGTGGCGATTATGGAGTATGTCCAGAGCCGGTTTATTCTCCAACCGTGATTCATTGTTTTTCAGTCCTTTCTGGCCTCAATGTTGACTTAGAAATGCCTTCTTTTAACTCCTTTTTTTACCCTTGCATCCATTCTCATTGTTCTTGACCATTTTTCATATTCCATGCGCAATTTAGGATTTGTAATTGTTTTGTTTTTACAGTTTTGTATAGATTTATATAATTACCTATATAAAATTATAAGTAACTACTGTGTTTATCAATAATGAAACCTTACAAGTAACTAAACGTGGTATTAAAATAAAATCAATCGATGAGAATACGTTGTAACTCTGGCATAAACTTGTAGGACATATTTCTAGACAATAGATTCAGGGACTTCTGTTAGATGGAATTCTTGATTCCCTTAACTACTTAAATTTTGATATTTGTTTGAGTGTCTTAAAGAAAAACAAATGAACAAGAGAGTTCTATAGTTGTGGGTCCACTCAGGAAAGTATTTCCACCCAAAGATTGTCATGAGAATACTACTCAGAATCTCAGATGAGTGTCAAATCAGTTGAGGAATATGAGTTTTTATGGGAGATTCCAACCCGTCTAGAGTATTCCAACCGTTTGTCATCCCATGCATACTCATACCTCCGCTGGGATTTTCAACCCTAAGAGGTTTCTTAATTTATCTCACACTACTACTCTGTCACCTTCACCTTGGTCACCTCTTTCTGACTTACAAGACCCCAACTGGAGGTTTGCCATGTATGATGAGTTTAGCGCTTTATTCGTTGCATGTTATTGTCCAAACATAAATAAAGTCATACGGCTCATAGTGATGAGACATTTAGTCCGGTTCTAAAGCTGACAACTATTCGTACGATTCTCAGTTTATCACTCTTTTGATCTTGGCTTCTTCATCGTCTGGATGTCAACACACTTTTTCCACGGTCATTTGGAGAAAATCGTGATTATGCATCAGCCACCACATTATCGAGATTCTTTTTGGGCCTCTCATGTATGTCATCTTTTGAAGTCTTTATATGGCCTGAAACAAGCACCCAAACCTGGTATCATCGGTTTGCCACTCATCTGGCTACCCTTGGATTCACTCACAATACTAGCGATCAATCCCTATTCATTTATAGTCAAGGATCGGACACCGCTTATTTACTTATGTATGTTGATGATATAATCTTGACCGCCTCTCCCGATTCTTTTCGTCGGCTCATCATCTATAAGCTTGCTTCTGAATTTGCTCTATTGATCTTTGTCTACTTAGATACATTTTGGGCATCTCTGTCAAACGTCATTCCAAAGATCTTTTTCTCTCCAGAGCCATATTTGTTGTTGATATTTTACGGCGAGCGGGTATGATAGATTGCAGTCAAGTTGTTACTCGTGTTGACACCCAGTCAAAACTCAGTGAATCAGTATCCATCGGTAAGCAAGTTGTTGATTCTACTTTATAACATTAGGATCCAGGGGCGCTTCAATATCTCACATTTACTGATCCTGATATTTCATATGTCATGCAACAAATTTTTCTTTTCACACATGGCCCATGGGAACCCCATTTTCTTGCTCTCAAATGGATTCTACGCTACATTAAGGGTACCTTGCACTTTGGGCTTCATCTTTATCCTTTGCCAGTCTCAACTCTTATCTCTTACACGGATGTTGATTGGGGCGGTTGTCCTAACACTCCCTGCTCTACCTTCGACTACTGTATTTTATTAGGCGATAATCTTCTTTTGTGGTCTTCCAAAAGGCAGCCCACTTTGTCACGTTCTATTGTGGTGTAGCCAACACTATTGCTGAAACTTCCTGGCTCCGTCTGCTACTTGAACTCCGATGCCCTCTCTCCAAAGCCACACTTGTTTTCTGTGGTAATATTAATTCTATTTACATGACATGCAATCCCGTCCAATATCAAAGAACTAAGCATATTGAAATGAATATTCATTTGGACATGCAAAAGTGCTTCTCGGGGCAAAGTCCGTGTTTTTTCATATTCTTTCTCGGCACCAGTTCGCCGACATTTTCAAAAAAGGTTTACGCCATTCTCTCTTTGACGAATTCCGAACCAGTCTCAGCATCTGTGAACCTCCCTCTTCCGCTGTGGGGGCGTGTTAACGGACATATACACCCACACAATCATATTATCACACGCTGGTATTGCTAAGTCATTCGAATGATTCTTATATTTACTATTAATGTCTAATGTACATATTCGATGTAATGTTTAGTAGTTGGTTACTTTTGTGTAGTATTACTTCTGTATATACTCCCTTTTCCCAAAATGATTAGTGAATTGACTTTTTTTTGTCAATGATAATCAACTTTGACCAATGATATTTTTCAATATGAAATTATTTTGAATATGAAAATTATATCAAGATGTTCTTTATTTAAAATATTTTCATAAAAGTATAAAATTTATAAATTATATACATGTATAATAATTAAAATCATTATCCAAAGTTTATCAGCATTGACTAAGAAAAGTCAATATGGCAAATCTTTTCGGAACAGATGCAGTATATGTTTTTTAGATAGAAGAGGACTGTATCATAGTTATCTACTCGTACCTACTTATATCAAATTAATTCAAAGCCTCCTTTACGGCAAATTTTGTATCTAACTTGTAGCATTTAAAGTATTGAATCATATATTATATTGTCGGTATAGAATTGTAAATATTAACTTTTCCAAATTAAAGACATCGGCCGAAATATATTATATCTTGAAGAAAATGTCATGTTTCACTTATTCCAGAGGACTTTCAGGCTAGAAATAGGAATTCCTATGAAAAGTTCGCTATGTGCTCAATTTTATTACTTTGCAATACATGACCTACAAATGAGTGCAGTTGTATAATTAGAAATTTCCAAATACATGAGTTATATGACAAAATCATCAATTATTTGTTATTTTTGTGAATGTATAAATTGTTGGTTTTTGTGATGTACAACTGTAAAAAGTATATTATATTATTAGTTTAGTTAGATTAAATAAATATGCATTAAAAAGTTAGTTCTAGTTTTAATTTTTTCCCACATCTGTGCACCATTGCAAAATATAGTATGCAACAAGTTCTTGCGAGGCAAAATATGCAGTCAAATAAGATGGAGAATCTCGATAATCATCATGATCATGCACCTATCGAGCTTGAGGTAATTAATAATGTTCTTAATTGATATAATAATGATGGTAGTTATTTTGATCGGTTACAATGCTCTTCTTAATCGTCAAAAATTATATTATGTGGTTGCATAATTGTCACGTTATATTTCCGTTAAAAACATAAGAGCAATACATCACATATTGATCCAACCCTCCTACTATTATATACCCTCATAAAAATCAAAGTGGGCAACATGCTCTCAAATAAGCTAAAATCCATATTGATATGCTAGCACAAAATATGTGTAAAGATACTTTATATTAAGAATTAGGAATAGTAGCTAAAAGCTTTATATGTTGGTGTAGAATAGCTCAATATGCTCCGCAAGATGGTGGCTCGTTGGATACAAATCAATCTTATAATATGTATACTCGTTATTGAGGCTTATAAGGATTTAATTGCTCGTTTGAGCTTAATAGTTCTCATCTGAGTTATATCAAAAAAGGCTAATCTAACCGGAGGAATGGCCCAATACTTTGTATGTTAGTGTGAGATAACTTAATAATTATCATGTAACACCCTGCTATAGCGGCGAAGCAGTCGTTGGGCGCTATCAGATCACGTACATATAGCATTGCATTTGAATCTACTGGGAATAACGGCCACTATAGGAGGTGTGGCGGACGATATAACGGTGCTATTTGCTTGTCAGTGCTAAAATTAAGGTTTCTTTGTGTAACTTTTGTTTTCAGAAATATTAAGGGTGAAGAAGACTTCTTAAAATAAATAGCAAGCTAGCGTATAACCCCTCTATCAGGGGCGGATGTAGGACTGAGCTCACCCTAGGCTAAAGCCCACCCTAAATTCTTAATAATTTAATATTTAGCATTGAAATTGTGATATAATTAGTAAAAATCTCATCTCAAATTTTAACATAAACCCACTTCAAATGAATATCAATATGTACTCCCTTGTCTTTTAAAATTTACCACGTTTGAGTGTCAAAAGTGCAAGGGCGCGCTACACTTCATAGGCCTGGACGTAGTGATAAGAATGCTAAATTTGCTAGGTTATCACCCGAAATCGGCGCGCCACTCCAATATTTGGGGGTGGTGTCAAATATAGAAGAGTTAGTGCTAGATTAAGCTTTGGGGTGTGGAAGGTTGGCTCTCTTACGGGAAGATCATGTGAGGTTAGGTAGTCCAGTTTATGAGGAGGAAGAATAACAACATTATGTGTGTGCAAGAAACTAAGTGGGTTGGAGAAAAGACACGTGAGATTAATCCCAGAGGTTTTAAGTTGTGGTATTCGGGGAGAGACAAAACTAAACTGAGTAGGCATTATTTGGCATGTGATTATGTTGAGGGTGTGGTGGAAGTCTTTAGAAAGAATAACCGCATTGTGAGCATCAAATTGGTGATATGGGATAAGATCATGTCCGTGGTTAGCGCCTATGAACCGCAAGTAGGATTGGATGCATCTATTACTCAACAACTTTGGGAAGATCTTGAGGAAGTGGTGCGAGGAGTGCTAAGGGGATAGAAGTTGGTCATAGGAGGCGACCTCAACCGACATTCTAGGTTTTGACACAAGAAATGAAGCGGGGGAAAACATTCTAGATTATCACCTTGCGACCTATAGAAGTGGATCTAATAGTATCCAAATCAACTACTTCTTAGTGCGGATAACTTGGAGAACTAGGTAGACTGATTGCAAGGTTATCCCAGGTGAGAATATTGTCACTCCACACTCGACATAGGATGCTTGTGCTTTATTTCAAGGTAAGAAGTATAGAAGACGAGTTAAGCAACAAATAGAGCCAAAGATAAAGTGGTCGAGGCTCGAGGGGATCTCCAACAAAGCTTTTCACATAAAATGTCGGGGAAGAAGTATGGTGTATTAATAATGACGCACGTGTAGTTAACAATGAAGTTGACCATTAACAAAGTGTCGAAGGAGATACTTGGAGAATCTAAATAATTCTGCCACCATAAAAGGTCACATTTTGATGGAATAATGAGGTGACATAAACAATTAAGAGTAAAAGAGAATGCTACAAAAGGTTGGGCAAAAGTTGGATCGATGAGAACATAGATGAGTACAAGCTAAGGAGGATAAACGAAAAGCAAAGAAAGACGTAAAGGAAGCAAAGGAGAAAGTAAAAAAGGAGTTTTATGTAAAATTGGATTCTAAGGAAGGAGAAAAAGATATTTACAGACTTACTCGTCTTCGTGATCGTAAGACTCAAGGTATCAGAAAAGTTAAGTGTGTGAAAGATGTCGATTAATTGATAGTAATGGAGGACGGGGAATTAAAAGAGAGATGTAGGTCATACTTTGATACCCTATTCAAGGGGAATAAAGTACAAGGTATTGAGAATCTTACTATACAGATTGTAGGGTAAATTGGGAGTTTGTGACAAGGATCAAAACGAAAGAAGTTAAAGAGGCTTTGAGAAAGATGAAGTGGATGAAAGCAGTGAGTTCAGATGCCATAGTGGCATACCGATCAAGGCCCGAAAAGTTTTGGACAGAGGGGCATCGAGTGGTAACACATTTCTTGAACATGATTCGAAGAAATAACAAAATGTGAATGAGTTGGCAGAGTAGTACTCTTATTCTCTTATTTAAGAGAGGAGTACTCTTATTCCCCTATTTAAGGATAAGGGAATTGTATAAGAATGAGCCAACTATCGAGACATTAAGCTTATGAGTCATACCATGAAACTTCGACAACGAGTGATTGAGCAAAGACTTCGAAGAAGTGTGAAAATTTCGAAGAATCAATTCGGTTATATGCGTGGACGCTCAACAACTGAGGTCACTCACCTTTTTAAACAAGCTGTAGAAAAGTATAGAGATACTAAAAAAGATCTGCATGTGGTTTTCATTGACTTAGAAAATGCATATGATAGAGTATCACTAAAAGTTCTTTGATGTGTCTTAACTGGAAAAGGCATATCATGTAAGTGTATCAGTATCATCACGGATTTGCTTGAGGTTTGTACTACAAGTGTCCCTACTATTGTAGGGAGGATTGTAGAGTTTCCTATTACTATCGTAGTGCACCAAGGATCGTCTCTGAGTCTTTTCTTATTTGCAATAGACATGGATGAACTTACAAAGTCAATTCAAGAAAATATACCATGATGCATGATGTTTATCGACGATATTGTATTGATTGATGAGACACAATTGGTGTTAAAGAAAAGTTAGAAGTACAACAACAAACATTGAAGACCAAGAGTTTCAGATTGAGTCAAAGCAAGACTAAGTATATGAAGTGCAAGTTTAGTCGAGGTAGAAGTAGTTGTAAGGAAATACCGGTCTGTGATATGATCCATTATTTGAGATCCATAATTTAGAAGGAAGGTGAACTAGATGAAGATGTATCCCATAGAGTCATAGAAGGATAGACGAAATGGAAGAGTGCATAAAGATTTCTATGTGGTCGATGTATGCCGACTATGGTAAAGAGTAAATTTTATCGGACGACAATTAGACCTGCATTAATGTATGACGTAGAATGTTGGGTGGTGAAACAATATTATATTCAAAAGAAGAGTGTGATATAAATGTGAATGTTACGTTGAATGTGTGGACATATCAAATAAGACTGAGTGCAATAATCAGACAAAAGGTAGGAGTAACGCCTGAAGATAAGATGCAAGAGTCTCGATTACAGTGGTTTGATCATGTGTGTAGAAGACCGAGTGATTCACTTGTTAGAGGAGTTGAGAGATGAGAAGAAGAGGCGGAAATGAGAGGGAGAGGAAGGACCTAAATAGACGTGAATTAGAAGAAGCATAACTGATATGCTTTTTCTTGCGTTAGATGAGAGCATGTCTTTGGAGAGCACGAATTGGAGGGCGCATATTTGTGTGGAGGATTGGTTGATTGATTCTTTTCTATTTTTGAAAGCAGATTGTACTAATCAAACCATTGTCTAAATATCATGTCACTGACCAACAGGTAGTAATACTCTCCTAGCCTAAGTTATGCTGGCTGGCAATGCTGCTGCCTATGCCTTAGATCTACCTTTAACTATTTTACTCGTAAGAGATTGACTAAGATTAGCAGTTAAACTATATATTTACTCAACTGATGAAATAAAGGTTACTGATTTCTATTTAGCAGGATAATCGAACCCATGCAAAGCTAATGAAAGACTGCATGGACAAGGATCGCCAGCTGAGGTATTTATTAGCTTTATGATATGTTGCAGATTAATGTTATGTTGTTGTTATTATTATCAACGGAAGAACCGTTTGATGTGTATATGAACGTATATAAAAATAATAATATATTTTCAGGCAACTGATGGGAGAAGATATTCAAGAGCTTGACATGGATGATTTGATTACACTGGAGAAACAGATGGAGAGAGGATTGAGCCGTGTTCTGAAGATGAAGGTGATCTGTTTCTATCTGTTAGATACTCCCACTTTATTTGAATTATTAGGAACTTTAAGAAAATAAAAAGTTCACAGATGTAGGATGTTTTCTTTTGGACTGAAATTTGCTGGTCTGGTCTGGTCTGGTCTGTTTAAGTCTGGTCTGGTCTGGTCTGGTCTGTTTAAGTCTGGTCTGGTCTGGTCTGAACTGGTCTGGTCTGGTCTGGTAAACGTCTGGTCTCTGTGTATTTTATAACTACGGAAGTCTGGTCTGGTCTGGTCTGGTCTGTTTAAGTCTGGTCTGGTCTGGTCTGGTCTGTTTAAGTCTGGTCTGGTCTGGTCTGGTCTGGTCTGGTCTGTTTAAGTCTGGTCTGGTCTGGTCTGGGACTGAAAACAGTCCAAAAGAAAACATCCGTAATTTGAAACGGATAATTTATTTATAAATACAAATTTGGGGTTAAAGTGTGAAACTAAACCAGATTAGGACAGCCCATAATAATGCATTTTGATATCGAATCAAAGCAGCATCCTAACTATATTGAAAATTCACTTGCATTGTAATGTTTTGGTCTTATTTGGTATGCAATGGTCTATTAAGATTTAATCTGGCAAGGTCCGGTAATATGTGCATTTTATTACGTATGACTTATGGTCTATGTCTAGTCTCAGGTATTTTGTTTATGTTTGATCATGTCTAATCTGATCTGTTTAAATCCGCTCAAAACTTAATTAGTTCTGATCTGATCTAGAATTGAAAGCCAAGGAAAAACAATTTCATTTTGATTTATAACCTGAGTAGTTTGTTTTATCTTTTAAGAACGGATACACGCCGCATGGGTAATAATGTACGTTATTGTTACCAGGGGCGGACTTACGCTATAACCAGGATATGCATAGGCTACACCTCAAAATGTGCGGCACGCCTATGTGGTAGTAATATTAAAATAAAACTCTTGCTAGGCTACAAGTCAAAGGGTCAAAACGCTCTAGTGCTACACGTGAGTTTTATTTTTTAGAAGTTATTCTCAGTGTTCTTGAAGTAGCTGATGTGGTCATATGGGCTTTAAATTTTTTCCTTTTCTATGTAATATGGAGTAACTTATAATAGACCGCATGGATGGACTTGGAGATCCAACATCTTTAAATTTAAAAATGTCAAAATTTTCCACCGACTTTCAAAACCTAAAGGGCCACTTATGTCTTAAAGAAATAAAGAACAACTTTGTCTTTGAGACTTGAGAGAAGCCATCGATCCACTACTTCAATTTCAGGTTTTTAGTTCTTTAAATATAAACAATTAGATCCTTATTATCATAATTGTTATTAATAATATTATTATTATTTTGAGAGGATTACTATTGCTATTATTATTATTATAATTTTACCATGTCAATATTGTAATCTCTAAATTTTCAATTTGTTTAGCATTTGAAACACCAAGTGTAATTTTAACTTTTGCTTTAATGACTTTACTAAAAAAACTTTTGCTTTTATGAATACATAGACATAAAAATACACTTATACGTGTGAGTATGTGACTTTTTTTATCATTGTTTAGCTAGTAATTACAAACTGACAATTTTATATTTTGTAATACATATGGTATACTACTAGAACTATACATATATGTTAAATTTTATTTAGCCTTTGTTGTTCTCATGTCAGCTGGGGTGGAGTATTTTCGAAAAAAATTCACATGAATTTTCGTACACAAAAAAAATAAAGACATTTTTTAAATTAGGGGTGGGCCAAGACCTAGGTTGCCCCCTAGCTCTGCCCATGCGCGCTCATGTGATATACTACTAGTATTATGTTGCGGTTGTTACCTATATGTGCATACAGTGACCTCCGATGCCTAGATCCACCACTGCACTGATTGTTACATTACATTTTTCAGGAGACATTACACTTGAACGAGATAACTGCTCTCAAGAATCAGGCTAGTCATCCAACATTATCAAAAATTGACTTTTTTATCATGCATTGAAAAAAAAGTAGCATGTCAGTCTCTGATTAAAATCCAATTTATATCTTCCCAATTAATTGTCCAGCCGATGAAGGAGTTTTTAGGGATGGAGGTTCATTCTCTTTTAATTTCTAAAATAAAATTGTTCTGTAGAAAAACAACATTCTCTGTTGTTTACTACGTATGAAAAAGTACTGAATTGGTTTTTATTTATTTTAGTGGAGGGTATTTGGAATTGCCTATATGGAAACCCTAGTGAAACAGATTAATTTATTCCTCAAACGTTTTATTACGTATGTACCTGTAAGCTAGACCTCACAGGGATGTGAAATTTATATGTAGGGTGCTTTTCTGAAGGAAGAGAATGAACAAATGAAACACTTCGTCCATCAGCAGGTTATAGCAATTTCAATCTTGATTCACATGTGGTTGTATTAAGAAATTGCATGCAATTGGAGTACAATATGGATATGTTTTGTACTTTTGTTCTCAAAAGAGAACTTAGTTTTTGTTTTTATTGATGGAAAGAGAAGAGAGAACTTAGTTAGCCATGTTAAAAATAAAACGAACTCTTCAAAATAAGAGTGAATGAGTAATATTTTGAAAAAAGTCCTACCTACATTTTACTTTTAGAACGTTGTTAATGACTACTCTCTCCGTCCCAAATTAATGGACCTATACTTATTGGGTTCTGATATTAAGAGGATGGGATTGAATGATTCATATAACCTTATTCTATTGCAATGTTCATTCATTTACTTTTATTGTTCATGAAAAGAAGAATGAATGACAATCTACTTTAATTTCTTTATCAAAAGAGAAACAAGACTATCATTTTGGGACAACTCAAAAAGAAATATAGGATCACCACTTTGGGACGGAGGGAATATAGTTTTCTAGTATGGTGGATGTTTGTCATGTGTATTTTATGATTGACGAAGTCTGGTCGATTTGATATGGTCTGGATTATTTAAGTCTAATCGGGTCTGACATGTTCTGTGTTTAAAAGACTAAAACCATTTCAATCAAAAACAGAGTTTTTCTTGAGTTCATGTCAAAAATTCTGAAACGATCTCAACTCGTTTCATTTGTTTTAATTGATATCACCAATTTTCTTTTGATTATTATGACGTGTAGATGGGCAGGGGGGAGAAACCTCCATCCGATCAACTGGTTCCTGGGCAGTCGGACAATTCGATCTCAGAAGCGTGCAGCCCAACTATTAGTCAATCTTGCCATGGCCACTCTGATACTTCCCTCAAATTAGGGTATGCGGATTTCACCACCCTTGCATTTTACGTTTGAGTACTAAGGATGTTTTTACTTGGACTGTAATTTGCTGGTCTGGTCTGGTCTGGTCTGGTCTGATCTGGTCTGGTCTGAACTGGTCTGGTCTGGTCTGGTCTGGTAAGATCTGGTTTCTTTGTATTTTTATAACTATCCAAGTCTGGTCTGGTCTGGTCTGATCTGAACTGGTCTGGTCTGGTCTGAACTGGTCTGGTTTGGGGCAAATTACAGTCCAAGTAAAAACATCCTAAATACGTTGATTTAAATTGAAATATGCTGAAATTGGTGAAATTACGACGAAAACAACTATATCGGCTGAATTTGATCAATTTTCAGAAAAATAATTTCAACCTTACTTATTTTTTGAAATATGCTTTTGGTAAAAAATTGTGTGAGAAGCTGATAAGTTGAAAGTAAGAGTTACAAAACGAACTCATAATGTTTTTGTATAGTAATTATCAATCTTTCGGTTTCTTTTGTACTTTAAATTTTGTCAACGTTCGCAATGTTTATGTATGGACTTAAATTTGTTGGACTAGTTTCATCTAGTATGATCTAATCTGGTCTGATTAACTAAGATTAGTCTCATTTGATCATTTAAGTCTTTTCCTGTTTAACTCTAGTTTAATTTGAAATTAAACAAACTCAAGTCAAAACATTTGTTGTCATACTTTTGATAAAGTATTCCGTATGAATTATGTGGATATGTGAGGAATTGAGGAAGCGTCCAGCCCAGCTGGTCGCTGCCTCACTCCCTTACGGGAGGTCTCGGGTTCGAAACTCAATGGAGTGAGTCTTAGTCCTGATTACTCCAGGCTCCCCCAGTCCCCCTCTCCCAGACGCCTCCGGAGTAAAAAAAATATATGTGGATATGTTATTCATGACCTGAGTACAAATTTAAAACATAGATATGCGTTTTCATCAAAATCTGAAATACTGATGGATTACTTAAAAACATTACACTTGTATGATAAAAAAACATTACACTTATCTTCAATTCTCTTAATTTAATCATAAAGCTTTTAACTATTTTCAATCCGATCCGTCTACTTAAGCACGTTTAATAAGTTTCAAGATTAAAAAATGACGTGTATATTAGTTTTCCCGGACAAAAGTAAGATCAGTTATGTTTTTTAGATCAAAATATGACTAATCATTGTGTACGGGTAATTGGACAAAAGTCACTATAATGTATTCTAGAGTGACAAGTAACTTGTATATAATGAGTCACTAAGAACTGCTCATTGAATATGTCACTTTTTTGGAAAATTTTAAAATAAGTCATATTTTTGTCTTTTTGAATTTAAAATAATCCATGGAAAAGACCTTTTTAAATTTATAGATTTATCAGAGTATTGAGATTCCATTTTTATAATTTTTGGATTTTTTGTTTTAAACGTATTAAATAAAATTTTTATATGTGAATTGGTTTATTGAAACAATAGATTTTAATGAGTTTTCTTTAAATTTATTCAAATGTTTAAGCTGTTAATTAAGTAAGTTGGATATATCTTGTAAATTAATATATTACATGTTATTCGAACTTCATTTTGGCCAAATTATGGTAAATTTTGAAAGATTAATTCTAGACTGAATTCATTCTTCGATCAATTAAGGAACCATATTGCAACAATGGATAATTACAGAATAAAAACTGCAAGACCTTTGTTGTCTATAAAAAAATATCTAGCTCATACAGGATATAATTGCTAATTTAATTTGCAGCTTGCCTTTTCCAACTGAAGTTACAAGGAAGTGGGGGCTTACGCCAATGATATGATTTTTAATTGGCATGGGATGACACATTATCCCAAATAATTTGTATATGATTTCCTGATTTCATCTAATAATTTGATAGAACGAAAGGATTTAATAATGTTATTTGTGAAAAAATGTAATTACTGGAGGTGAAATTAATCTATGCAACTGGAGTAGAGAATGTCCTTTGTATCAATCTATAATATAAGTATGTAAAAAATGTCTGTTGTGTATTGAATTTTAAAAAAAAAATGTTTTTCGTAATAATTAAGTGTATATAGGAAGTAAGGAAACTCAATACTGCGTATTATGGCCGGTTCGTATATAATGCAATTTGATCATTATTGTGATTCGTAGGGCTGGGCACGGGTCGGGTCGGGGCGGGTAATGCAAAATAAAATGGAACCGCCGGTTCCATTGTACGGTTCGGTCCGGTCCGGGTATTACAATTTTCAAAATAGGAACCGGAAATTACCCGGCCCGTTTGAAACGGGTCGGTCCGGTCCGGGTTTTACGGTTTCTATTCTCGTGTCTTGAAATTAGTAAAAACTCACTCAGTTCCAAAAATCAATAATCAATAATCAATAATATAGGACATTAGCAAGTTTCAAAATAACAACATAGTGGTGCATATATAACACAAGCGGTAAATCCAATACTTCATATTTTCTTGTATATAAGTTTCAAACAATTAAAGAAATTCCAAAAATATGCAACATAGCCAAAATACATATTTTCTAACAATTGTGTTTAAACATGTTGTCTAACATCACATATTAAAGTGATTGCTTTTTTTATATTAAATTTTCAGTATTAGCCAAAGTTGACACATACATGGTGGGTGGTAAACACAATTTATATATTTTAATAACAATATAATAAAAAAAATATAACAAAATCATCTTAAACAAACAATTAAATTCCATAGAAAGGAATAATTCAATAACAATAAAAAGTAATAAGATATTTATGAAACATTTAATCAATAATTTGAAAACAAAAGGATGTTACTGCAACTCAATTTAAAATCCTACTTCTAGCACAGGAAACAAAACTATTTCAAAACCGATTATCACAAAACTATTAATAAATTAATATACAATATATATAACGGGCCGGGCCGGGTACCCGTTATTTTTTAATTTTGGAACCGGTCCGGTTCCTTAAAAAAAATTACCCGACCCTACCCGGACCGTTTTATGGAAACAAAAAATGGAACCGGCCCGTTTTGGACCCGAACCGCCATTACCCGGACCGGACCGCGGTTCCAAGACCCGTTTGCCCACCCCTAGTGATTCGTATAAGACACCCTTGGGCATTCTCAAGGATGTCCCAACACTTCTAATTAAAAACTTTCACGACATTCTTGAAAAAAAATTAAAAACTTTCACGACATCAAAAAGATTTAGAAGATTTTTTTGTTTGTTTTCGACACACACACATTTTTTTTATCGTAACACACACATATATAATGCCCTTGCATTTTTGTGTTTTCCACCTAATTTGGTATCGTCATAGGCATCCATCTTCATCTACTCTATTACGGAGTATTTTCTTCTACATCTTTTTTTTTCTATCTCACTCTTCTTTGATTTCGCCTCTTCGAGGGAATCTATTTGAACTTCATAGTAATGGGTAAAAGGAATAGAGATGGCAATTTCGGCCGACCCGTTGGATACCCGCACCGAACCGATTTGGTCAAACTGGGGAAATCCGGTTTGACTGGGGAATGAGTACGTGGTGGGGAATACCCGAATTTTTTAAATGATTAATGGTGCGGTTATGGTTAATGATTAAAATCTGCCCCAAAACCGCCCGTTCACTAATGGTGCGGGTACCCGCACCATTACCCGATCCGTAACATTATTAATGAATTATAACTTTTTATATATAAGAATAATAAGTATATATGCTAAATTGTGTATACTAAATAGTATATATACAGAGTACGGAGTATCATATAAATAATGCTAAAAAGTATACTACAAGTATTTTTTTAGGCCTAAAACTAAATATAGGCCTAAACTTGATTTTGGAATTTGGATTCTGGGATGATTACTATTTTTTTTATTATGTTACAAGAGATATTAGGTGCATGTCATACTAATGAATTTAGGCTAGTCTGTTTGATTGCTTAAATATTTACTTTTGTATGTTTTATGGTGCTTTGAATATATAAATAACAAATAAGATTAGAAATTGGTTATTTGTTTTCCAAAAAAAAGTTTTTATGGTATCATTTGGGGAAACGGTTACCCGTGGATAAACCAATTCCCCGTTGGGGCGGGTACGGTTCAAATAAAAATTACCCGAATAAGTAATAGAGCAGTTTTGGGGAAAACATTTATCCAACAGGACGGTTTCAGTTTTATGTGTACCCGTCCCCGATCAGCCCCGTTGCCATCACTGAAAAGGAACAGTGAAAAACTACGCTCCGTGGGCATTTATTGTTTCTGTTATAAATGATTAAATTTGGTATAAAAAGTGATATTGGAAGCAAATGTAGTGTTAATAGATCAAGAGTAAATGATCATGAGTAAGTGCGTTATTTTATGTCCGTTATTTGTTTTGCAGTTATTTCTAACCTATGACGGTATATCATCGTCAACATCATTGAAATTAGATGAGATTCGAATTTCTACCTTTTATCTTGAGAGTGTTATATTGATGTTATCAGAACACAAAGTATTTGACATGTGTCCATTAATTAATACTTCGTATAATTTATGTTTCATGCAATATGTTACATACTCTCTCGGTTCCTAAATAAAAGACATTGTTTCTCTTTTTTGGTTGTCCCTATATAAAAGGGTCATTGACAAATATAACAGTGCAAAATGATGTCAAAATAATGCCACACAGTGTCAAATAGTATTTCTTCTTAGGTTATGTGTCATTCAAACTATGTCTTTTATATAAGGACGGGGTATTAATTACGGTGTATAAGGTGTAGTCGATGTTCTAACTTAATGTTTCTAATATGTAAAGAAATAATTATTTTAATGGCCTGTCGATGTAAATACACAAATGGTAGATGGTTGGTGTAACTGAGATTATACATGTATGAAATATGTGAGAAAACGATGCGAAGGTAATATTGTTTGTTTATGGTTACAAATGATTTACAGGAGCGGATCAGGTGAGAAGTGTTCTTAGGCTGAGAACTGCGAAGTAATTTAAAAAGTTGTAAAAGTTAAACATTTAACTTTATAAATTATGTTGATGAAATTCATATCAATAATCTGTACTTTGAGCATGTCTACAATAATAATCTCTACTAAAGAAATTGATATAAATAATCCATACCCTTAAAGGCTTAAACACATTCATATAAATAAATAAATAAATAAATTACTCAAACAGAGGCAGTGATTCTGTTTGACATTATCCTCATCCCATCCATCATCATCCTCACGGGTCATACTCTGTTTTTTTTTTCAATCTTTCCATGTCAACCGAACACTGGATTTTTTTCAGTTATCATCACTTTTACCTATTCCTTCTGTCATAATGATTTATCATATGGATGTAATTAGCTTTTTTGAATATTAAATTGTATGATTGGAAATTTACAACACCAGAATACCTAATTTTAAAGGTAAAGAAACCTCTAAATTTAGAGGATCGGAATTCTTTAGTCCCAATTTGAAAAAGTATAACACCAGTATCCAAAAGTAAAATTGAAGCCCCCATGTATACACATATAATGCTTCATTCTCAAACTGTTTCTTGAAGCTCCCCCCTCATGGACAGGCAAAAATAAGATGAAGTACAAAGCTCAACCAATTAAAGTACACAGTACAAAATGCACCGTATGTTTAAAATGAAAAAAAAAATCTGTTGAAAAGGGGAGGGGAATTGAAGTTACACGGAGGTGAGTGAGTGACGGGAATGGGGTGATGTAGGATATCAAACAAACCGTTACCTCCGTTTCATTTAATCTGTTTATGTGAACCTATTTATTAATGTAGAGATTATTAATGTAGAACTGCTAAAAATATAGATTATTGGTATGCATTTCACCAATTATGTTTAATGTATTAATAGTTTATTAGGACATATATTTCTTGGTAAATAAATAAATATCTTTTTGATAAATATTTTTCAACTACTACTAGTGTTTTTCATTGTAATCTCATACTTTCTCGATTTATTTATCACTATAAAGTTATACTTTTTTATTTAGAGTTGTTGGATTTATAAGTTATGATTTCTGCTATATAAGTTACCTTATTATCTCTATTAGTTAGACTTCGCAATTTTCAGTCTAAGACACACTTCTCACGTGATCTTTTCCCAATGTTTACATTTGATATAAATAATGATATTTCGGATTCAGGATGTTTTTACTTGGACTGTTTTTAGTCCCAGACCAGAAAGAACACTACTTATTTCATGCTTAAGTGATTATGACATTCAAAATATCTTTAATAGCAAAAATCGCTCCGTCAAAGTACCTTCTATCTTAACAAATCTCATAATAAAAGCCATTAATTCTCAATTAGATTCGTTTTTTCACTCATCTACCTGTCTTTATTTTGCTCATGAATCATATGTCGAACACAATTACCAGCCTGGAAGGTCCAACATATGATTTCAGTGATCAAGAGAATATCATTCACATCAATGTTCCATTTTCCAGTATATTTAATCAATTTATTAACGTTTGTATGACGCAAGGTGTTTCAGACTCATCATGGCCCTAAACACATAACCTTATAAAGCTAACACAAAATATGTTGAACTTAGCACAAGTCACTCCCATATTACGAGGTGATGAAGATGATGGACTGAGATGCATAAGCGACACACATTCTTTACCATCATGAAATCATTCCCAATCATCAAATTGGAAATCACTAAAGCAGAAACACAAGAGAATGCACAACGTCATTGAAGAGAAAACACAGCAAACAATATGCCTTATGTTGGTGGAAATTCGGTCAGATATACCTGCAAAAATAACGTTAGAAAATAATATAGCTCGAGACGCGTCAGACGCTGTCCTCAAGAAAGTATTTCCGACTAGCGAAAACCTTTCCCCAAGATATAACGAGCTCTTCGGCGTAAGCCGGTAACAGAACAACGAGAGTAGAAAATTATTAATCCAGCAGAGTGAAAATATCAAGAGATGTTTAACTCCAAAATAATATATCTCAAATGGCTCGTCAAACACACACGCTCTCTATAGCTCCATGCAAACATACATATATTTATACACGTAAATGCCCAGCAAAGAAATTGAACGTTGGAGCTTGAAAGGTCATCAATATAATTATACATTAATAATAATCATAATAGCCAATGGTAAAACAAC